TAAATAACAATTGAATATAAAATTTAACAATGGATGAAAGCAAATCTCACAGTTTTGCGTTCATGGGCTTGACTAACATCTCCAAGAACAAGTTCTGGTTGCCAATGCATCCTCGACTGCCAAGGATACAAAGTATTTGATTAAATGATTGTTGCATCCGAACTCACATGTCGCCGAATGGATTACTTGCTCACAGTTAGGTTTGAGCTAGTCGAGCTACTTTATCATTACAGTGATATCCACAGAAATATGCAGACAAAATAATGAAAGGCACCAATCTCATCATACCCAGTGAGCCATACACGAGGAGATTGTATTTGTCATATCTGAGAGGAGGGAGCATTAGATATGCAGTGGAGCTTGAACTAAACAATAAAATAAATAATTTTGTATTCAAAATGCAGTTGTAATTGTTTCGTAATGCTAACATCATATATTCGAGTTCTTAGAATATTGTCATCATCAGGCTCATGAGCCATAAGGTACTTAGTCAGAAGTATTGCCTGCATAGAAAAAAAAATTGAAATTCTACGAGCTTCCTATTGTTTTAATTAAATGGTCAATAAGAAATTATACCAAAACAAAATGAGCTGAGAATACTAAATACCATCCAATTCAAACTTGATTATAAACGTAAAATTGGAGCAAGTAAACTGAAATATCTTCAAAATTTCACTATTTTTTTATTCACTGGAGATTTAGCACCCTTTCCCAAACAAACTTCCACAAAGTATTATTCAAGCCCCATCCCCATCACACCAAAACAAAAAGTAAAATATAGCAATTAAAAAACAAGCAATGATTAGAAAGATTTCTTGGTTAAACCAGCTGGATCTTATGAATAATCCTACCTATCAGACAAAGGTTGAAACATCTTGAATAAATTAGCTGTAAAAGCAGAAAAAAATATCAAAGTAACACTCGGAACCTTTTACAAACTAAAGGGAAAAAGAAGGGGAAAAATAGAAGGAAACCATCATCATCGTCGCCTTTGAAAAAGAAACAAAATGGTTACACAACCTTCATCTTAATCGAGACCCAGCCAGGAAAGATCATGAAGCATTGCTTCCTCGGATTCCTTAGTTGATCTCTGTAAGTAAGCGTTTTCAATTCGAAGAACAAATTTGCCGCCTTTGGACCTGGAGAATAAGTAGTTGAAGAGTGCAGTTCGGGTGGTGGCAGTTGATAGAGGTATGGTGGAGTGGTGGCAGGCGACGGAGGCGGGGTGGAAAAGAGGGATGCCCAATTTCATTAGGGTCTGAGAGCTATAAAAATGACCCGTTTGTCTCTTTATGCGTTCTTTTATCAGAGAGATATCCATCTTTGTGCGGAACGGAGGCACGCCGTTCTTCACGGAGACACTCCGTGT